TGGGAGTAAAATATAAGAAAAAGCGCGTTAAGAAACATTCGCACAGACTTAACGGCGTTTTATCGCGTTGTTATCGTTTCAAATTAACTTTTGTCTTTTTATTTCAGGTATGCATCGTGGAAAAAAGGGGAACCGGACAATTGTACGCCATGAAATAAATGAACAAAACTCAATGCATGGAAAGAGACGCTTTGAACAACGTTTTGAAAGAAGTTGAAATATTAACGACATTGGAACATCCTTTCCTCGTGAATCTTTGGTTTTCTTTTCAAGGTACGTTCAGGTTTCTCTCATTTTTTATTGCGAGTTAATATTACTTTATTTTTTAGTATACAATTACCACAAAATAAACTTTTTTTTCAAGTTTGACGAACCGTCGTCAAAACTTATTTTGAATTTATAACTTTTTCGCAAAAAATTTGTTTTGTTGAGATGACGTCACACAACAACAAAAAACTTTTTTTTTTTTTCAATTATCTCATTCATTTTACTTTATTACGTCATTTCCGGTTTTTCGTTTCACGGTTTGAAATTTTTTTTTTTATTATTTAATGTAAAAAAAAAAAAAATAATAATAATCGAATTTTTTTTTGGCTTGGGAAGGGAGGGGAAGTGAGGGGGGGATTTGTATTAAAGAAAAAAAAATGGCGTTTCCCACAAATTGTGTAAATCTCTCTTCATTCATTCATTTTTTTTTATTGCATTTTGTTCGCTCTTCTTTTTCTTTTCGTTTTTTTTGTTCCCTTGGGATTTTCCTTTCTTTTTCAGTCACTGAATGCGATTCAATTTCCTTTACACAAAAATTTTATTCATATTTAGTTTTTTCTCCTTCCCCCGCCCCCTCACAAGTGGCTTCTTCCATTGTATTCTATTGGTATTTCATCTTATGACACGTCCATAAAATTTTTTTTTTCGTTTTAGGCTATATAAGATTTATTTATCATTATTCGGGTTATCACAATTTCAATATTCGGAAAAAAAAACGTGGCAAAAGAAAAAAAAACACGAGATTTTCAAGTGTTTTTGATTTAATTTTTTTTCCCTCCCGTCGGACGTGATTTTTAACATAAGTTGACATAATTTTCTCAATAATATTTAATTTTATTCCACGTCAATTTATATTTTTTTTTTTATTATCCATAATTCTCAACGACTTTTACCAACGGTCAAAGAAATTTTCTTTTTTAAACGTCGAATTTCACGTTCGTTTTTCTAGAACAATCTCGTTAGGGTGAAACGTGATATATCCAAATTGTGTGAGAGAGAAAAGTTGTTAAATAATCATTATAAAATATCACACAATGTTACCAATATCGTATCGAATAAAAGTTTTTAAAGATGGCGTAGCTCGGATATCCGGTTTTTTTAAATAAAAGATTTCAATAAATTGAAACGAAATAATTTTATAAATATTAATAAATAAAATTTAAATTTTTTTTTATAACGAATATCGAATAACGGTTAATTATTTATTCTTTTTATTATTCGAAGATATTTACACAGTTTTGCCAACTTAATTTAATACACTAGAGACATCTAGCGGTGAAAAAATAAAATTGTTTTTCTTTTCAGATTCGACTCCGTTTGAATAATTTTCCTCAGTCAGTATTCGGCTTTCCTCAGGTAAACACCTACGCGATTAGTTCTCTCATCTTTATATAAAAATTTTTTTTTTTGTTTTTTTTTTTTTTTTTTGCAGTTCGGTAAATGTTTTAATAATAAAAAAAAAAAAAAAAAAGTAGAAAAATTGTTTTGTGAACAGTGAATTGTGAAAAAAACGGTTTTTTTTTTCACCGGATAATCATGGATATTAAACGTAAATTTATAAAAGGTAAGTTTTTTTTTAAAAGTTTTTTTTTTTATCTTCGTTAAAAGAATCATTATTCAAAAATTTTAAAATTTAACGATTTATTATAAATTGTTTTTTCTTTTTTTTTAAAATAATTAAAGTAAAAATTCGAGCCAAAAAAGAAAAAATCATTAAGTAATAAAATGCCGTCGTTTGATGCGAATTGCAACACCTACGGTTACAATTATTCGTAACGGTTTTTTTTTGCATTCTCCATTTTTAAATTTCACTCAAACGAATGACGTGTACTCGATGTGGCGCTAGTGGTGGGGGGGTAAAATTTTTTTTAAATTGATAAAAAAACGTTAAATCGAACGTCGGGAATTTTAACGGTTAAAATTTTTGTTTTCGCGGTATTTAAATAAAATTTTCACATCGAACGCT